TTTTAAAACCTGCAGGGACTCCATACGACCACTCTAAGTCCAAAAGAAATAATTTTTTTTTTTGATGTTTCGAACCCCTAGATTCAAGAGCTGATTTTCTGCATTTTTACATTGGTTTTCTTCATTTTTGCACTATCGAATTGGTCCTTTAGTTATCATTTTCCATGTGTTTTTCCATGTTTTTGATCTTATCAATAATATATATATATAATCTTTAATATAATCACAAGCAAAATAAGGTGCAGTAGTAAGCATCTGCTTACTGCATGTCATGTTGTTGGATTTTATCCATGATGAGGTCTTGGATCTTCCACGTGTTTTTCCATGTTTTTGATCTTATCCATGATGAGTTTCTTGGATTTTCCAGGTGTTTTTGCAGGTTTTTGATCTTATCCATGATGAATTTCTTGGATTTTCCAGGTGTTTTGCAGGTTTTTGATTTTATCAATAATATATATATATATAATCTTTATTATAATCACAAGCAAAATAAGGTGCAGTAGTAAGCATCTGCTTATTGCATGTCATGTTGTTGATCTTATCCATGATGAGGTTCTTGGATCTTCCGCGTGTTTTTCCATGTTTTTGATCTTATCCATGATGAGTTTCTTGGATTTTCCAGATGTTTTTGCAGGTTTTTGATCTTATCCATGATGAATTTCTTGGATTTTCCAGGTGTTTTGCAGGTTTTTGATTTTATCAATGATATATATATATATAATCTTTATTATAATCACAAGCAAAATAAGGTGCAGTAGTAAGCATCTGCTTATTGCATGTCATGTTGTTGATCTTATCCATGATGAGGTTCTTGGATCTTCCACGTGTTTTTCCATATTTTTGATCTTACCCATGATGAGGTTCTTGGATCTTCCACGTGTTTTTCCATGTTTTTGATCTTATCCATGATGAATTTCTTGGATTTTCCAGGTGTTTTTGCTGGTTTTTGATCTTATCCATGATGAGTTTCTTGGAATTTCCATGTGTTTTTCCATGTTTTTGATCTTATCAATGATATATATATATATATAATCTTTAGTATAATTACAAGCAAAATAAGGTGCAGTAGTAAGTATATGCTTACTGCATTTCATGTTGTTTGATCTTATCCATGATGAGGTTCTTGGATCTTCCACGTGTTTTTCAATGTTTGTGATCTTATCAATGATGATTTTCTTGGAATTTCCATGTGTTTTTGTAGGTTTTTGATCTTATCAATAATATATATATATAATTTTGATCACAAACACAAACAAAATAAGGTGCAGTAGTAAGCATTTGCTTTTTGCATTGACATAATATGGAAAATGTAGAAAGATGAAGCAAACCTGAAAAAACAAATGAATCTTTGAAGAGCATTATGATTCATGTCATCATAATCGATAAGATTGAAAATCGTTGAGGGGACGCCTGAAAAAAAACAAAATGCACTCTTTATTGCGTGATCAAGACCCAGATTCGCAAAATAAAGTGTAACAAAAACACGCGCAAAATAAGTGCAATAGTAAGAATCTGCTTATTACACCCTTATTGAAGGAACATGGAAAAAAAGAAAAATGAAGCAAACCTTCAAAAAGCAAGATAAAATTTTTGTACAACAGCCCAAACATAAGGGCCCGCCACAATCAACAAGATGTAAGCCCTTGAGAAGCAAATGAACAGTTGAAGAGCACCATGATTAACAAGATTGAAAGATCATTGGGGAACACTTGGAAAATTGAAAACCATCATCATTCATCAAAAAAAATAACATGCAGAAAAATGCGCAAAATTAGGTTCAGTAGTAAGAATCTGCTTACTGCGCCGTTATTGACATAGCATGGAAAAAAACAGCAACAATGAAGTAACACTTCAAAAAAACAAGAAAAACGCTTCAGAGATATGGGACCGCCATCACGAGAAAGATGCAAGTCCCTGAAAACAAATGAACATTTGAAATGTATATATATTATGATATATATATATATATGATATATCATATATATGATATCATATATATATATATGTTTATTCATGTATATCCAGGTGTATATATAGCTGCAATTTCCTTTTTGATGC